CTTTCAATTTTTTTCCAAGGAGTTATGTCCCTTTGAAATTAGAATTTAGGCCTAAATATACTTGTGCAACAGTTTGTCATAGCAACTCCTCTGAAACCACACAACAGAATTTCATGAAACTTTATACATAATAAGGACATAATATGTATAGATGTGCATTACTAATAGAGGGTATGTGAGTCTGCAGTGTTGGATCCTAGTTTTTCCAAAGAGAAGGAGCATAGGTGTCCCCCAAACAATTTCGCCGAAAATTGAGGGCGACAGTCATACTTCAAAAAAATATACTAGAAACACAAATGTTCGGCTATTAAGCTGGACCCCGGGCATCCTTGATATCTTTCTCTATTAATCCGACGCAGGTCTGCAAGGATCGTCTTGCTACAAGTAAACTTGTTTTGTCCTTTTGTTTGACCCCTAACTTGCAGAAGAATTTTTTTAATCAAACTTATATTAAATGAACCTTGCTTAAAACAAGAAATCTGTTTAAAATGAACGCTTATATATATCATGGTATTTGGCAAATATTCCTTAGTATCTGTATAAAGGGAACAAAATCTTTAGTTCTGTAGGGGCTCGCTCTACATAGGTTTCGCTGATTTATGTTTTGTACAGCCATCAAACATGCAAGCAATGAAAATTGAGAGAAAAAAAAAACATGACAAAAATGTCATTCAGGAGTTTTGTTGTGTTTCATAATGACCGAAATTCCTAAATGCTGCCCGATTTACAGCGGTTGTTTACATATGTCGTTATGATCAGAAGTGATGCAATAACAAGCGAAATTCAAATTGGAAACCTCTTAGCAATGTTACTGTCAAACTATACATACCTAAATATCTGCATGTGTTTCGCAGCTGGAGATCTAAGTATCTGATTTATAATAATTTTGTCTTTAGATCAAGGAGAGTATACCAACATTTGATTTCGTAATTATAAAAACATGATGTAATGTGATTATAGAGTATCAAAAATTGTTGATTGAATGTTCGGAGACCGGAAGTGCATGTATTTCCAATTATAATTCCATCTGATTACACGTTTCGAATCATTGCCAAGGTAATCCTCGCTTCAATAAGAATTACAAGAGCATGTTCCAAGAACTTAACAAAGTTATGAATTTGGGTCTTTTAATGCCAAAAATGTTGATATGCGAAATTTTATAGGTTATATGTTTAAAGTCATTATGTATTAATCTCATACAAATTTTGAGCATGTCTGCTCTTGCGTGCATACTACAAAGGTTTTAAATTCAGTGATGATTAAACGCAGTTCTTGGAATAAACTCGATCGCAATTACACCCTCCGAGAAGAACTTGCATGGGTAAGATCAGATTGGTAAAGTTCTGTAGTGTTTCGTGGGCCGCGGTGGAAGGTTGTGAGTTCGAACCATACTCGTGGCAAGGTGTAGCCTAGAGTGCTGAAAGTGGCCTTTAACAGCAACAATCAATTAACTAATCTATTATGTGTCTAATACAAAATCAAAGCATAACAACTTGCTGTGATATAAAATGACGAGTAATCTTTCTTTTAAATTTTAACCCATACCTAGCAATGCCCTATTTATTACGCTCTGAAAACATATTTTGTTTTATTGGTCACTGAAGTAAATACCAGTAGTTGATTGATCTCTGATAGCCAGCTTAGCCACATATTTTCGGTTTATAATAGATATAAGAAGATGTGGTATGAGTGCCAATGAGACAACTCTCCATCCAAGTCAAAATTTAAAAAAGTAAACCATTACAGGTCAAAGTACGATCTTCAACACGGAGCCTTGGCTCACACCGAACAGCAAGCTATAAAGGGCAACAAAAATTACTAGTGTAAAACCATTCAAACGGGAAAACCAACGGTCTAATCTATATAAAAACGAAAAACGAGAAACACTTATGAACCACACCAACAAACGACAACTACTGAACATCAGATTCCTGACTTAGGACAGGTGCAAACAATTGCAGCGGGTTTAAACGTTTTAATAGTACCAAACCTTCACCCTTATCTGAAACAATAGTGTAACATCACAACATAGAAAGACACACTATAAGATATCAATTGAAATGGCTGAACTCAATCAAAAGACATTTTAACACAAGTGAACATACACTGAACAAATAAATTTGATCTATGATACAATGTAAAAAAAAAAAAAATAAACTAAGGGAAGAATAATTAAAGTAACATGTTATACCGCTGTGAAATGTTCAACAATTTAAGAAAAACAATATGCTTGAACAAAAATATCAGTATCAACAGGTCAAATAAACAAGAAAGTACGATTTGAGAGTACTCGCAGTTACTGACAGCTAGTTTAAAGCCAAAAACAATTAATAATGAAAAAATCATGCATCAGAGACTAAAAATCAACTAAAACACATCCCAGGGATTTAGTATTTTAACGTCATGGACAGTCAAAGAAGACATGACTTGTGCAATGCCAAAAATAAATGTATCGACAGACAGTAAGATAGTTAGGAGTTTAACCTCTTTATAGATCAAAATGAACGTGGGTGTTTCTTTTTACATTCCGTTTGAAAAGAATACAAATTTAGTTATGTTTAAATTTGCTGATTACAAAATCGATATTAGTGCCAATGTAAACTATATTCAAAGATCTAATTACAACATTGGTAAGATAACCTTTACTAATAAGTTTGTTTAAAGGTTCGATGAGTTTACACGGATCACATAGTGATTTCCGCGCTTTCAGTACAATATTACCGTAAAATTTAGGATGTGAAATACCAATTTTAATCAGTTTTCTACAGGTACAGCCAAATTTACTAATCAAATCTTTGTATCTATGAAAGAATTTAGTAAAAGTTTTACGTAATTTATGGTAACGAAATCCCTGACTTAATAATTTACCAGTGATGCATTGATTACGTTCGTTAAAATCTTTGACATCACTACACACACGGGCATAACGAACGAGTTGGGATATATAAACACCGTATGATGGAGCCAAAGGAACATCGCCGTCTAAAAAAGGAAAATTAACAATAGGGAATGAAAAGTCGTCTCTTTTGTTGTAAATTTTAGTAATGTGTTTTCCTTTAGAGATTGAAATGTCCAAATCTTGAAAAGGACAACTACTGCTGTTTATGTTAGATTTAGTTAAAGTAAGTTCTTTTGGGTAAATTTCGGTAGTATATTTAGAAAACTCTGGATTATTTAACGAAAAAATATCATCTAGATAACGGAAGGTATTGTTGGATGTATCAACCAAATGTAACAATGACGTGTCTTTACTGAGTTTGGTCAATGTTTTATTTGATTTTACAGCATTTTACAAATGCTAATGTGGTATCTTTCTGAGGCAAAGTTGACCGTTATCAATTCTGGGTATTCAATTTTTTACACTTTTAAATATATGCCACTATTTGAATGCGAATGTATGGCGTGTCCAAACGAGGGGGCCAAGGGTTAGTTTTTTTTTCGCACCAAAACTGTGAAAGAAAAACCCTTTCCGGATTCGTTTTAAAAATCACGTGACATCAACGGATATTAGACTGGAACCCCCTTGTCCAGTTGGAAGCCCAAGAACCCCCCTTTTCAAAGAGTGTTGATCCGTGTCTACATTGAACTAAATGATAAAATAAAATGGCGCGGTTTACTTTGACACGGGAATACTAAAAGAATATTTCAGGTAGAGTTGAACAACCGCCGGTTTTTTTTTAAATCATCAGTCATAATATCGTTATGGTTTGCATAATATTGACGTGATTACATGACTAATTATATTACATGTAAATATTCATGCTAATTAGGCACGACAGCGCTAAGTATAAGTGTAGGAGTTCTCTAATGAGTTCGATCGACGAGTTTATCTGATTACCAACAAAAATGTTTTGAATTTTTTATACCCTCGTTTGAGCATGCTGTTTCTATTTTCAGTATCTGAATCACAAGCAGCGGTTGACTTTGTAAAGATCACACGAGTCCAAATGTTTCATGTTTCTAGTTAAAATCGGTAAATAAAATGTTCTGATGTAAAATTTAGGGTGTGCAAGTTGGCGTGTATTACTGGTTCCATTAGAATAATTCAAAACCGCATAACACGTGCATATATCCGTCTTCCAAAATGCGATGGTGAATGTTGAACTTAAAAAGCAGGTGTAAATGTCATATCTGTAAATATTATATCAATATAAACAGAGCTAGGTTTCTCCCTAAAGGCGATCCCTATGATATAATGGAAATCATTTATGAAAGACTTACCTAACTGAAATGCAGTGTATTAATGGGCTATTGCATCGAAATTAATGAATATTTTCCAAAGTAGACACAAGTATTGCCCGTCAATGAGCTTACAAGTATAGCAATATTCTAAAATGGGTGATATTTAGAAAATTGAATATTTGAGTGTTGAAAATGTAAAACAGGTCTCCGATAAATCATGATGTAATTTTTTAGAAAAAGCTTTTAGGTTTAGGTAGTTCTTCTTCGGAACATTTAATTTATAGTTTGTACAACCATCAATGTTAGTTGTTACAAATATAGTTATAATGATGAAAATACTGCCTAAAGCTAATAAAGAATCAGAATCACCCGATAATTTCATTATTTCCAAAAAGATATAAAGCGCTACGTGAAATACCAAAGAAAATTGCACAGCAACTTTTTGTTACATGAGCCAAAATGGAGCACTCATTTACTTTGATTTATACAACAAATCTTGATTTACCCTCATGATTGCAAGCTTAGAAGTCTGAGATGTTTTATATCGGTTGACAACAATGTTTCAATCTATACTTCTTTATAAACCTTCAAATTTCTGCAATTACTTTTGTCACGACAACCCCTTTAAACACCTGTTTAAGATCGTAAAATACAATCCATACCCTTTAATTACAACTTCAACGAACAATTTGAATACGGATTGTTCATCTTTTAAAGGAGAAAATTTTATCCTATTTCCAAATTTTTGTTGTTAAATAAAAAAAAAAAGAAAGATCTTTTTAATTATCATCCAAGGCGTGACAAAACACTGAATTCTTTCTGCCTCGGTTTGACAACTCGCGCGCGACTTGCGTGTCGTCTGCCAGAAGTATTCATTACATTTACTTCAATACATTATGTGTTCTTCAATACTTCAAGTAAGACAGTAGCATAGATTAGCCTAGCTTGTTTATTTTTGTCCTCAAACCAGGTGTATTACTGGATATTTACACTACAGCGATTTAGTCAGTACTTATTTAATGTGAGGCAATCATAGTCACTTTAAATTTTTGTCACATGGAGTTTTTAATAGGATAAAAAATATTGGGAAAATGACAGACCGGTATAAATAAAATTGTACTTGTGCGGTATTGGAAAAAAAGTTTTGAACTTTCGAAATGTAAAGTTTATTAAATATTCAAATGCGTATTTTTAATAGTTAGTAATATGTTGACTGCATGAGAATAGCAGAAGTGGTATTAGATTAGTTAAGATAGTGGATTAGGATATATTGTGATAAAATGGATAATTTAATTTCACTTAGTTGGATTTTAATATTTTTTTCCTGCAACTGGGATTTAGTACCAGCACCCAACTACGAACAGTATAGACTACGACCGGGCATGTAAGTAATACATGTACATGTATATTCAATTTTAAAATCAAACTGTACCAAGCTACATTACATGTTTAGGTGCAGTTTCATGAAATGATATAATAATTTGATATGTTTTGTACATTACACGTTAACTTTGTATAATAGATGGATTACGTAAAATTTATTTGATAAATATGCATATATTTATATTTCTCGTTATAACTTTCTTCAGATGAAATTAAATTGTACTTATGGTCCATATGAAAGACTTCATTTATTCAATGAAAAATTAACCTCCATGTTTTTTTTCTTACTTAAACTGCACACTATCACAAATGAGACGCTTTAAATAACATCACAAAGTAAATATATGCATATGCTCTTAAATTTCTGCATTTAAAGATATAAATCAAACAGGAAATTTACAAGTTTGTCTAACAGAAGTTCTTTAAAGTTTTTCTTTGATATCTATATACCTGTATAGAATTATCTTTTTTTTATTTAATGTTATGTGACGATATCAGTAGGATGTGTAGGATTTTAATGACATTTGGGCAGTAGAACGTAAACATACATGTATCTCTCGATTATTAAGGACAATGATAAAAATAACTTAAGAATTTCATAATGTAAAATCTCAAATTAGACAATTAGAAAACAAAATTTTACATCATTTAACGAACATTATGAATTTTTAATAAACTGATTGAAGAAATATGTGAAAACTTCCAAAAAAATTTCGAAACCATTGAAAATTTACCAGCGTCGTTTTATATATAAAAAAAGGTTTTTTTATTGAGGGGGGAGGGTGTGGTGTACAAAAGAAGTATAAAGATTCTATATAGTACAGTTCCACATCTATAATCTAATTATGAAAGCAGTTTAAAGAATGTAGGTTTCTCATTTTCGTTTCTTAAAGCTGATTGAAGGCTAACATATCTATTTATTTTGAAATAATTAAATTCGGAATTTTGTCGATGTTTATAAAGTATCTTAACAAAATAATCGTTAAGGTATATAAAATAGTCATTTTTATTTTATCAAAGATTTATTTGTTTTTAATTTTTTTTGCATGTTTACTGTTTAAACAGTGTTTAATTTGAAGACTTCCGACAGCTTTGAATTTCTTGTCTGTACTCCGAACGTAAGGCTGACATGACCTGTGTCAAGGTGGCATCATTTTAATATTTTGATAATTATTTTGATAACAGGAAAGCTAATGAAAAAGAAGAATTTGCATAATCTATCTTTTATGAATGATTTTGTAAACTGTCGGAGCATGATTGAAATATGATCATAGTTTTTGCATATTTTGCACGTTTGTAGATAGTAAATACTTTTGAATGATTTTTTTTTGTAATGTTATAAACTGAAAAAAACGTAATTAGATCCGTTCCTCCCAGCGCCATGGTATTGACATAAATGTTTATATCTCAGTGAATTATGTAATTTGTAAATTTTAAAATGGATTAAATAATATTAGTGATTTGTCGGAAAGGGCTTTACGAATAAATACATATGAACCCTTCTAAAAAGTGCAATACATGTTTGCATATATATTCATTGGCGATGTATCATTTTAAAGAAAAAATCAATTTGAATTTTAAAGACATTTTAATTCAGTTTGCTTTTAAGTGCTTCAGGGACGATTTGTTAATGTTATTGTATTATCTTTTCTTGCAAAACGTCTCGGTAGCTGTAACAATGCTAATACGTTGTTAATGATTTTTGGACTATACTGATTTCGATTTTACTGGTTTAAAATTAGGTCAGTACTAATCAAGATTCTTTGTCACCAGAACGGAATAATTCCAAACAAATCAATGGACGGCGGTTCGACTTTCGCTCCATGTTATTTTGTTCCCCTGTGTGATGCAAAAATTTAAAGACATTTTATCGTGTATATCAAAAGTACCGCCGGCTCAGATTTGTGGTAGACCTCAAATGCTGACAATGGAGGCGTATTTTGATATTGTTCAAGTGCAACTTTATTAATACATTAGTGTAGAATTTATAAAAAAGCGTATATACTTGAAAAAGATGGTGTTACGTATTGAAGATAATTAAAGATGCTGACAATAAAGTACTGTAATCTTAACAATTTGACATACAAATGATAGTACGTCATTATTTTCTAGTCAGCTGTCGCAGACAGGTTTTTATAGTACAAGAGTCTATTTACCTCATAACCACATTACATTCTAGTTAGTAATAAAGAGGTTTTTTTTAGACTCACTTTGATCTTGTGAATAATTGATAGTATGATTAAGGCCAAGTTATGTTGTATAAGATTTGTGAGGATGACTGCCTCGTCCTCATTTTAACACCTCAATTCACTAAGATTCACTCTGTTGCGAGAGCTCCGCAGACCCCATGTAGCACAGCTCACTTGCATGTGACTTTGATATTAACCGACTGAAATTGGTTTATTCCATCACGTTCTTTTACGCGAATGTATGTAACACTTCAGGACTATTTCCGCCAATTGTTCCAATGGGAATCATATATTTTTATTTAACTGTACTTTTTATATTGATTTGGAACACACCTTGAAGTTAAAGAGGCATTAGCTGTCAAATTCATGTTCACCAATTTAATTCACTCAAATTCTCATATTTGATTTATAACATACTAAAACGTATATCCAAATTACAAAAGTCTAAAATAAACAATTAACAATGCACGGACTCGATAATATGTATCAGTATTTCGTGTGTATTTTTGTCTAGACGTCATCTAATTAACCACCGAGATGATATCCGAAGACTGCCTACGGTCATATAACCCGATATAAACATAAACATAAATAGATGGCGACCACGTGCAATTGTGTTTTTCTAGGTCTGTTTGATTTCATATTGTAGGTTACAAAGTTTGTTTATCATTGTTTTTACCTGTATAAGAATGATTTTTTTGTGGATCAAATCAGTCAACCAAATGGTTCATCCTTGTTTCACTTCCAATGTTGACATTCTTTTCCTTTTAATAACTGAATACATGAGCTATAGGGTTAAATTGTTGAAGGTCACATGAATACGGATTCAATGAGGTCGAATTATTCACTTGCAAGTGAGCAATTCATCAGCGATATTTCTTAGCTTATTTTGACAAAATTGAACCAAACTGGCTGCTAAAAGCGAATTATTATTTCACTATTTCACTTTCATTAATGATTGAACAAAATAAATTCAAATTTAAATTTTTTTTATATCTCGTAGCTAATGCCCCATTTAATTATGTTTTTAGGATTTTATATACCTAGTTTTGTTACTCTGAGTGTTAAATGTAATTGTATTGCATATACTAGGAGTACGTCATTCTCAAAGATACTTTGGAGTATATTTTTTATTCCGAAGTTTTTACAAAGAGTATACGTTGTTACCAAATCGATATACAAATGCGAATTTCTGGAAAAACTTAGAAACACGAAGCCGTTAGTTTTCTCGTTTAAATCGTTTTACATTTGGCACATCGGAGCCCTTTCTATCATGCTACATAGGATGGGGTTTGCTCATTGTCGAATGACGAACAGTGACCTATAGCTGTTAACGTTCTACGTCATTTTGGTCTCAGTGAAGAGTTATCTCATTGGCAATCATTCCACGTCTTCTTATTATTATATATTAACAACAAACTGCAAATCATTGTAGTGGAAACGTCGAACTTTGAACATCAAGATGTAACTCTATAAACTGAGAACAAAACTGCAGACAATTTAAAAAACTTAGTACAACACAAAAGTATCAAAAAACAAACTATAAGCAGCCTCATGTAATCCAATCAACATAGAACAATATAGAAGACAACATTTAAAACTTTGTACAATATGAAAGTATTTATGTAAGATTTTTGATAAAAGGATAAAAAGATATTAATTGTTTTACTTGTCCGAGTTGATGACAGAAGATATAATTGATACTAGAGGTTACCTGTTGACAATCACACCCTTAATCTCACCTGGAAGGTAAATTGACTTTGATCCTCGTAAATAACAGGTAACAATACATATTTTCTGTAACAGATACTTGTTTGATCTTCAGCCACTTGTGTATTAATAATTCTTAAGTATATAATGGAGAAAGATAAGTTTACTTTTTGACTCCTGATTACTCAATCGACGTCGTCTGCGCAAACAGCAGAGGATTGATAATTAAATTAGACAACATATAATAAATATTTACTTCCTTTAAGACAGTCTTGAATGAATAGAGTTGAGCACAATATAAATCTGTATATCATACAGATTTTGGACCATTCTCAGTTACAAAAATCGCTGCTTGTTGAACAATAATACAACCAGAGTCCATGTTGGAATTGCTACCGATATAAGTCTTATGGGCCTGCTTCGTTAAGGACGAAACGGTGTGTTAAATTTGTATTCAAGGATAAAATAGTTAAACCCTTTTCCATAACGATCCTCATGTTTCTGAATTACAGAATTTGCCGTAATCATATATTGAAGAACGAATCTCGAGCGTTCTTTTTGTAGTCTGCGTGGCTCTTAAAGTTGCTGGTTTATAAAACTAACTATTCAAATGTAGTTTTGATAAATCGATAAAATTAATTGATTAACGCTCCGGAATTCAGTGCATGATTTACTACTGATTACTAGAGGTCCCATAGTCCACAAGCTTTTGTGTCGATCTTTTGGTGAGTGCCCGATGTACTAACGAAGCACTCCTTTCATTAATATGCATTGCATTTAACGTTCATCACCATAATTAGAATATGCAAAAACAAAGATAAGTTCGTTTCTTACCAAAATGTTGCAAGGAAAATAAAAATGTCAAAAATTCTTTCTACGTAAGTCGAGACAATTCGAAGAGCACACACATGTAATGCATTATCACTGAGAACTAAATACCAAACTTTATCTACACATGTCATTTGCATCAGAGACATTTATATATAAAAAATATTCTTCAAGATTTTAGGTTAATTGATTGTTGCTTACTTATCGCCCCAACACATATGTCATGCATATTCAGGTCAAGAACATGTAACCATTTATAGGTTTTTGCGAATAA